CTTGGTGGTCGTCTTGGCGATGGCAGTTATTGAGGTCACGTGCACTGTGCTGCTGCTGCTGCTGAGCTCGATTGAAACTAAATGAGCCTGCCCAGTAAACTTCGTACTTCAGAAAAGTATTTTAAAATATGTAATTGTAAGCTACAAAATAAAATAATGTGATTGCGTTTGCCACTAGAACTTTACAATTGTTTCAGTTTAGGCTATAGTTTTTCGGTGTCAATTCTCTAAGTAAAAAGACTTTCATTTAGTTAGGAAAATTGCAATTTCTGTTATGTTTTCTTTGACTCTAAAAGCACACTCATTAATTTGATACAATTTTAATTAGTGCAATAACGTGCAATTGTCCGTTTGATATTCAGCTTTTATAAATGATACATAGTTTGACGCATTTGCAGCAATCCAATCAAACGTTAGTGTTCCAGTCTTTTTAAGATTTTCCAAGAATTTTTTAAATGCTCTTTTTACAACTTTGACGCATTTCATGAACGCACTTTTTGTACAATGCATCAACTTACATCAATTAACAAAATGTCAAAACCTCTGTCACCTTTTATGCCCTATTAAATCACCTGCGCTCAATCATTAATTACTTAATTACTTATTTTAGTATATTTAAAACAATTAATCAACTGATCAATTAACATTTCCACCGTCATCAAACAGTTTGAGCAGCACACAATCCTTAATTAGCTTTCTGTCTATTTAATTGGCGCGCAAATTTAAACTTTTTTTATTTATTTTTTCCCTGTTTCAATTAATCATCTTCTAGAAATGCCGAAAAAATTGCTTTACATTTTACTAATTTTTCTCGTCGTCGGATTTCTACCGCCTCCCGCCGAATCAGGCCTGCTGCGATCGCTCTTCAACGGTGTTCAACGCCTGAGGGACGTCCGGCAGCACATCCACGAGGTGATCAAGACCGTGGGGGCCGACCCAAATTCGTTGATCATTTCGAAGTACTTTCCCGAGGCGGCGCAGGTGATCAGCAATGATGCGGTCCGCCTGGCGCAGTGCTACAATGGCACCGTCAATGGCGTCACCGTGAGCATCTTTGAGCAGCCCGTCGGATCGGTCATTGTGGAGTACTTGGTAAGAAAGAGAACAAGTTTTGCAGTTTTAGTATACTGATTTTGAACTTTTTTTAGAAACACGACATCAACTCCATCGATGACATTCGCAGCATCACCGCCGAGCTGCTAAAGGCTCGCGTCTTAGCTCTACTGAACAGCATCAAAACGCTGGCCGGCCATGTGATTGACTGCGTTCTGGAGCGAGATAGCAAACCGACAGTGAAAGGCCTGACCAAGTTTGCCGAGATGTCCGGTGAGGAGGTTCGAGAGACGTTCATGCAGCCGCTGGGAAATGTTGTTGAAGAGGATGAGGAAGTTGAAGAAAATGCAAATGAGATTGACAGCATACCAAATGAAGCTCACCTGGGCAGCGTGGCGGAAGATCTGGTGGACGATGCGGAAACAGAGGCAAAATCACTCGTCTCTAAGGCGGAAAAGGGTCTCACCCTGGGTCGGGCCAATGGTCAGCTGTTGAAGGAACGTGTTTTCAAGAGTACCCGCTTCAGCGTTGACCGTTCTCGTCGATACCCGGCAGCCTTTGATTATCGGGAACAGGGGGCGGTCACGCCGATCAAGGACCAGGGAACCTGTGGACTTTGTGTAAGTGATCTGGAAGACCTTTTTAAGGCTTTTTACTTACATTTTATCTTATCATTCTCCTTCAGTTCCTCTTCGGCACCATGGCCGCCATCGAGAGCAGCTACGCCCTCAAACACGGCGTCCCCAACGCTAGTTTCAGCGAAACCGACCTGGTGGACTGCATGGTCGAGCACGGGAAGTACCCGGGACAGGCGCAGAAGAAGGACCCCACCGGCCGGCCCATAGTGGACCTGGTCAGTGGGACGCCCACGCTGGTGTCCTCCTGCCGACCAGGTGGCGCCCTGGTCAATGTCCTGCGAGAGGCGAGCAAGAGTGGTCTGTCGCTGCTCAGCGAGGAGAGTCACCACTACCAGCCGGATCATCGCTGGGGACAGGGGTTTACGGTANCGGTGGTGACCAAGGTCAGCGGCTGGGCCACCGAGAAGAACATCAAGGAGAATGAGGACTACCTGAAGGGAGTGCTGATGAAGGTAGGTTGCTGTTTGTTTTGTAGAAAAAAACTTTTTAAAATTTTTATGTTTTTGTTTGTTTTCAGTACGGCCCAATTGCCACCGTCTTCCGCACGGCGCTGATGATTGACCGGAAGTACGCCGGCACGACGGGCTACATTGACGGTTTCTTCCTGATGATCGGCAAGATGCACGACGCTTGTGATCCGGACACGACG